GAAGCCAAAGGGTAGTCACACCAAATATTGATTTGATTTAGATTTTTCTTCTGTTCGCTCAATTTGCATTTTGTAAATTGATAAATATAAAGAGTTACAACATATATTTTTGAAAGCATTCTTACTTTACAGCATTTTTTCACACCTGCCCAAAACTTTTGCACAGTACTGAATGTGTGTGTGTGTGTGTCTGTGTATATATACACACACACACACACACACACACACATACATACATACATACATGCAGTTTTGCTCTAGATTAACAACTTATATTACAATGTTTTTGTCATTTTTTCCCCTGGTATAAATTTTTTGACTTCTCCATTTATGCAGAAAAAACACATTGAGGAGAAACTGAAGGAGAGATATAGATAACATAAAAAAGAAACAAAGAAGAGGAAGAGGGAGGAAAAAGACAGAATGCTACTTGAATCCACCTACTTTTTTGTTTTTTTACTATGCCTACTTTTTGTTAAAATAAGGCCTTCCTCTGGCATGCTGAAAAACTGCAAGGAAGAAAATGAAAACCTCACTTCTATATGGGATCTTTCTTAGTGGGCCTGCTGCACCCAACCAGGAAAGCCTGGAGTAAATACCACAGTTACCACTTTCACTAGTAGTTTTTGCCATCACCTCACTCTCTTGTGTTTTTCTTTTATTAGTAGGAAGGAGACAGCATTTCTTTCTTTTAGCCTTGTTCTGATATCCGCAACTCAAGGAAGCAAGCAGATATCTGAGCAAGGCTAAAAGAAGGAAATCTTGTCTCCTTTCTACTAATAAAAGAATAACACAGGGGCAGTTTAAGCCTGAAACTGGGGTTGAATTGCAGAGACCTAGGCCATATGTGTAGCAAGATTATAACCCACAAGACACAAACTAGCACTAAAATTGCCTGTTTGAAATAATATTTATTTACTAATATGCTCAGTGAAAGCCAGTTTGGTGTAGTGGTTAAGGCACCACACTAGAAACTGGGAGATTGTGAGTTCTAGTCCAGCCTTAGGCACAAAGCCAACTGTGCCTAATGTGACATTAGGCCAATCACCCTCTTGCAGCCATAGAAAGAAGGCAATGGCAAATCACTTCTGAAAATCTTGCCAAGGAAACTTCAAGGACTAGTCCAGGCAGTTGCCAGGAGTCAACATTGACTCAAAAGCACCCACCCCAAAAAAGATACTCAATAGCAAAAGAAATAAAAATGGATGTTAGAAAATAGGCTTTGATTTGAAAGCGACAGTAAGTAGGTTCATTTAAAATGGAGACTAAACCTCAGGGAAAACAGCCATAAAAGGAATCAGCAAGGCTTTGAGCACATCCAAAATAAAATTAGAGCGTATCCTTGATCTAATTATTTACTGTGTGAAGAATCCTGAAATAATTCAGTTAGAGTGGGCCCTTTCTTTCCATAGACAAATTGCTCCCAGGAAGCCTCGAAGAACAAAAGCATCTAGCAAGCTCCTTCCTAATTTCAAGGGGAGGGGAGATGTTTGTCCAAGGTTTTAGACAACTAGTCTTCCTGGGTTCCTTACTAAAGCTAGAAGTTATTAGGTTACAGTCATTTGTGTATACTTCTGATTCAACAGGGACCTCTAGAAGCTTGCTAGAGGTGCAGATTATAAGGGTGATAAAAGTTCTTAGATTCTGAGACCAGTACAGCTCAGAGGTTCAACTTTTTGTGTATAGCATTACCTGAGTAAATATTCTAAATCAGACATTAGTCTTGTTGAGTCTAACATGAGAGTATAATGCCCAATTTCAAAGCTACAATTATAATAAACGTTGCTGTTATTCTTGTAGAATCACAGCATCACACAAAGTCCCTTATAAGCATGCAGTCAAATCCCATGCACATTTAGTCAGAACTACATCCCATTATATCCAATAGGACTCATTTGTATCTAAAAATCCACTGAAATAGTATGCATATAGCAACAAAACTCCCTGAGAATGACTTGCAACTTACCTTTGAAATGTTACTTGATCGACTTGTTGAACGCCCTGGAGATTTCTCATTCTGTTAAAAAAAATGTAAGGTTTGTTTAGCTTGGGCTAAAAGAGAAAATTAAAACTTACAAGTATTATTGTTACTTTATCACTCCATTGAGAAGTTCATGCAATTCAGAGATTGTTGACTGGAATTCAAAGAAATACTTTCAGCATGCTGAAGAGCTCAAATGCACCCAGAAGGATTTCTAATTTTGCACTCTTTTAACAAAAAATCTTTATGCTATATTATAAACTAATTTTTGAAAGTCTCTACAGTTCAGAAGTGGCATCTCATAGTATGGAGAGCTACTGCCCAAGAAAGCCAAATCAGAGGTTCCTTTGTGCAATGAAATTAATTATGCATTTCTTTGGATCCTAGCCATTATTTAACAGACATAACAATTGAGGTTGATGATACAGAAAGAGAACATAAATGAGGGGGTGAAAAAACACAAAAAAAGAACATGTAGATTTTTACACAAGAAATGCCAAGGAAGAGAAAGTTCCAACAGTTCAATTATTACCAAGATCAAACAGGATCTGAATAGGAAGGAAAGGGATGCACTTTAATAAGTGTTAAGGTTCTAATGCCCCAAATACAGAACTATATAGAGATTACTAAAAAGTGTGAGAATGTGTGTAAGTAGAGGTTGATTCTAAATCTAACAAAAAGATATTAAGATATTGTCTGTATAATATGCAATTATCTAATAGCAAACACATCACCACAAATTCATTGACTCAACACTTACTCAACCCATGACAAGACAGAGACAGTCAATTAGCAGAAATAAAACTTAAAAATTTTTTTTACTGAGGAAGATAATGAAAGAGCTGAAGAACTGCAGGCAGATTGTAACATGAAAAAGATTGTCCTATAAATCAAACAAACAGTATATTAGAAAGATGAAATAAAGGATTTTGGACTGGGGAAAGAGAAATGGTCACAGAAGAAAGATTAAATAAATAAATTTGAAAAACTCAGCAATGTAAATCTCACTTTTTTTCTCTCTTGCCTTCCAAACAAATTAAAAAAAGAAAAGAAAAATGTAATATTTTCCTAAATGCTGTGTGATAGGCAGGTTTTGCAGAAGTGATAACAGACAACCATTCATACCAAAATAAGATACTCACTTAACCATAACCATCTCTGCAGTTTTCTACTTATATGATAGATGACCTTATAGGCCTTCAGTGGAAGAAGTGTGTCCATCTTGTACGTGTTAGACCTTTTAATGTTCAGTGCCATCAGCAATGGTATCTTGTTGGATCACTTAGTAGGTTTGGGAGCTGGAGGCACTATTTTACAGTGATTCCTCTGCTACCTAAATGGGTGGTTCCAATCAGTAATCATAGGGGAAGAATTAGTGAGTTCTCAATCGGTCCATTGTGGGGGCCACAGAACTCATTACTCTCCTCTATATTATTTAATAGCTAGGTGAAGCCTCTGCAAGAGATCATCCTTTGGTTCAGGTTTAAGTGCTAATGATGTTTGGGTTTATATTGCCATCCTGGGCTGAGCTGGAGAAAGTATTAACAGCCTGAAGCAGTTTTTGGAGCCTGTCAAGATCTAGATAGGGCAGACAAACTCAAATGAAATCCTTCCAAGATTAAATTGCTTTTCATTAATAAACATTGTGGAAATTCTGTAACAATGGTCCCAGTAATAACTCTGAACAGGATTGATTACAGTCCCCTTAATGGAGTTGAGTAGGAGCAGGGTTCTGTGATTTAGGGGGTCCTTCTGGACTCACAGCTCCTGCTTACACAGCAGATGGAAGCTGTGGCTAGAGAGGCCTTTAAATTCAACTTGTGTCTCTTGGCTAGTTTAAAGCATATTTAGAGTAAAAGTCTATACAGATATTATAGCTGAGGAAGGATTACTTTAACCATTCATGGACCCATTCCAAATTGAGTCTTTTATACAAAACACATTTAGGGAAAAATATTTCATCAATGCTGATGCAATATGATCTCCTAAATGTAAGTCAGGGCTCCCCCAAACCACAGTCCAAGATAAGGTAAGAAATAATTTCTCCCATGCATTGACGTCTCAGTTCTAATTTGATGTTGTGCATTCTGTTCCACTGGGGGGAAAAAAGGATCTTCTTGGCACAAATGGTCTGTCTGAAGGACATAATTTGGCCTGATCTACTGTAAAAGCAGTAAGTTAGCCCTTATTTCCCTAGCAGTTACATAACACAGCTGTAGGATCAGATTGGAATAGGAACAAATGAGATTGTAGTTGGGTTATTACCCTAAATTGGTGTCGGGCCTAGCCCAAGGAATTCCAGGAGACCATGCAGAATCAATCCAGCAAGC